TTATCACCATATTAGGGCACTTAAGGGGCTTCTAAGTGGGTTACACGTACAGGTATGAGTGGTTCATAAGTACCATGAACCTCCAAGTAGGGTCCAAGGCATCGGCCTCAGGGGTTCTTACTGGCTGAGTTTGCCACGGCTGAGGGGTATTCTCCGTCGGCTTTAGCCATTGGGGCTCCCCCTAATCCCCCCCACCAAAAACCCAAACATCCCCTGCTACTTTAGGGCCACGCACGTGTCGTTTAGGTTTAGGGCTACCCTAAACCCTAAAGAGTTTAGTACAAAGAAGATCTGCGAGGTCTGGTAGCACCACCACCGAGCCCGATCTCATCTCGGCTCATCTCGGGCAAGTACCTTCTGTGAGGAGCCATCACGTACAAGTATAGTATATGAGTTGGTGGTCTCTTTAAGGGTTTCTGTTTTACAGGGCATATATATTCGGGGTTCTTATTAGGCTATCTAGGGGCTATACTAAGGTGTACGGGTAAGATAAAGAGGCCACCGGCCTTTATAACGTATATACCTTCTAGAACCCACGGGCACACGATTCAGAACCTTCCCTAAACCCAAGCCCTGGAACAAGAATGTCGGCCTTCTGTGGATCCGACAACTTCCAAGATACAGCTTCCTCGGGTGATCCCTAAAGCCTAGAGCCTAGAGCCTAAACCCCAAATCGTCACATTTTTCCAGGCGTGGTCGATCGCTGCACTACGCCGTTCGAGGACCCTCTTCGCACCGCACCTGAGCCCTAAACCCTGCACTTTTCAAGCCAACAGGCCACTGGAGGGTGCAAACCCTGTTTAGCGTTTAGAGTTTAGCTTGAGCCGTAAACCCTAAACCCTAGACCCTAAACCCTAAACCCCAAACCCTAAGAATGAAACTTCCAGACTTCCAGGTTCGTGGACCCAGGGTGTAGCAACACAAGATACCCTTGTGTCTGGGAACCTCGAAGGGCCAGGCTGCAAAAACTGCCTGGGACAGGGGCCTACATAATGCAAAAGGACACTGAACTTTAGGGTTTAGGGTTTAGGGTTTAGGGTTTAGGGTTTAGGGTTTAGGGTTTAGGACTTAACATTAGTGTTTTTTGTACAAGTTCAATGTACAAGGGGATGATCTTTTGAATTATTTAGGCCCCTGTGTTGGTCTTCCACCCTGCCCAACCAAGCGGTCTCAGAGAAAGCCTTACACACGAGCGATCGCCCCGTGAGGATGCTCCGGGTGCGTGGTGCAGGGTTTAGTTTAGGGTTTGGGGTTTGGGGTTTGGGGTTTGGGGTTTAGGGTTTAGGGTTTAGGGTTTGGGGTTTGGGGTTTAGGGTTTCGGGTTTGGGGTTTGGGGTTTGGGGTTTGGGGCTTAGGGTTCAGGGTTTAGGGTTTAGGGTTTAGGACCCAAGCCACAGGCTCTGAAAGCTTGAGCCTTATGGGGCTTATGGGACGCCAAGTCTTAAACCTGGAAACCCCGCTTAAAGCCTCACAAGCACTGACCCCAACAGCCCTAAACCCTAAACCCTAAACCCTAAACCCTAAATCCGAAAACCTAAACCCCTCAAGCCCGGAGCCCTACAAGACGCGGTTTTGGGTTTAGGGTTTAGGACTGAGGGTTCGCCATCCTAGAGACACTCGATCTATTGCGCTACATGGGCTTACGGGTTGTTTGAGGGCTTCAGGAGTTTGGGGCGTTTAGGGTTTAGGGTTTAGGGTTTAGGGTTTAGGGTTTAGGGTTTGGGGTTCTGTGTTTGGGGTTTAGGGTTTCGGGTTACAGGGTTTAGGGTTATAAGGTTCCGTGTTTAGGGTTGAGGGTTATTTGTTTAGGGTTTTAGGCTGCAATCACCTGCTACCATGGGGAGTAAGGGATCTCGGTCTTCGGATTTGGGGTTTTGGGGCTCGAACTCGAAGAGTCTTGAAGGGGTTCACCCGTTTAGGGGTCTTAGGGCTTGAGGGTTTTAAGCGCTTAAGGCTTCAGGGATTCAAGCAGGGCTGTCAGGGGAAGTACGCCCAAAGTTCATCACGGCTGTCGTGAAAACTCTAGACACTATACGATGACCCTCAGGTTCTCTAAGTTGCGAAGAGAGAGCTATACTCCCCTTAGAACCTTAATAAACACAATATTTCTAATATCCTCTAGGGTCTTATACAAACAAAAATCAAAAAATGATTCCCAAGGGGGACATAGGTACGATTTCCCTCAGATTCTAAGTTGCGTAGAGAGAGAACGCCGGCTGAGCTGGTGGAGGCCTCAAAACCTGAATTTCTGAACCCCTCCCAGGAGCCTGGAAGACCGATTTACGGGCTTCCCCAAACTGTTGAAACCCTACATCCTCAGCCCTAAACCCTAAGCCCTAAACACTTAAACCCTAACGATGCACACCTCATGCGCGCAGCAGGTGCCATGACAAAGACGGCCGGATGCCCAAAACCTGCGGAATCGTCCTTACGACATACTCGCAGGTGTATGAAACCCTGACTCCTCACAATAAAGGATTGGGGCTTAGAGTCTGGGTTTAGGGTTTAGGGTTTATGGTTTAGGGTGTAGGGTTTAGGGGTTAGGGCCGTATGGGGTTTAGGGATGTCTTGGAACACTTGATTTCTCAACCTTTTTGTGCACGTGCCAACTGGATCGATTGCAGGCCCGAGAATGGTGGAGCCCTGTGTATGAGAACTCCCAAGCTCTAAATTAGGGTTTAGGGTTTAGGGTCTAGGTACTAAAACCCCTAAAGCTTTGAAAAAACGCAGGTTCTTGAAACGCATGAACCCTAGATCATCCTAGATCCGAAAAACACAAAGCCCCTTAAGCCTTCTTCCGGCTGTACTTGAACATCCATGGTCCATGGGTACCCCAAATAAGCCTACTTCCAACCCTAAACCCTAAACCCAAAACCCAAAACCCTAAACCCTAAACCCCCACCTCGGTCTTTGTGTGAGAGGAGCGCTGTGCTGGATTCTTCCGGCTAGGAGGCCAGGTCCCAGCGGGATGCCAAGCCAAGGGTTCAACAAGCTTTGGGTTTAGGGTTTAGGGTTTAGGGTTTAGGGTTTAGGGTTTAGGGTTTAGGGTTTAGGGTTTAGGGTTTAGGGTTTAGGGTTTAGGGTTTAGGGTTTAGGGTTCAGATTTCGGGGTTTCGCAGACGAGGGTTTAGGTTTTCGGGTTTAGAGATTTACAGCGTTGGGGCACAGGAGATGGGTATTTTGGGTTCAGGCTTGGGGTTCTTAAGTTTGGGTGGATTGAGCTTTTCCTTCTTAAGGGCTCAGGGTCTTGAGGGCTAAGGGTACGAGGCGGCTGCGGGTTGAAAACTTCTGGCACACCTTGCTTGAACCCCTAAATGACGGCACTACCAGTGCGCTGTACATGGTTTTTAGGGCACTAATACTATTGTCTTCTTCTTATTATTGTTATTGCTATGTTGTGTCTCTCTTTTTTTGTGCGGGGGGGGGGGGTCAGGGATTAGGGTTCGGGTTAAGGGTTTAGGGTTTAGGGTTTAGGGCTGGGGTTTAGAGTTCAGGGTTTAGGCTTTAAAAAATAGGGCTGAGGGCTTAGGCCTTAGAAGGCCTGGGACCACGTTGGCCTTGTGGATCCCCGGCTTGAACATCACTAAAGGCCGCAGAGGCGACTCTCGGAAACCTGGCTGCACTGCACATGAGAACTAGGATGCCCAGTAACCTAGGATTCCCTGAACCCTAAACCCTAAACCCTAAACCCTAAACCCTAAACCCTAAACCCTAAACCCTATTGACCCTAAACCCCCCCAAAAAAAGGGGAATAAGGGCAATACTGGGCATCCTAGAGGTTGTCCATGGCGCCGAGACCGCCGCCACGCGGTAGGTGGTGGGGTGGAGAGGGCGACCCCGGAGTGCGGAAGACAACGCCCAAACCCTAAACCCTAAACCCTAAACCCGAAACCCGAAACCCTAAACCCTAAACCCTAAACCAGAAACCAGAAACCCTAAACCCTAAACCCTAAACCCTACACCCTAAACCTTAAACCCTCAAGTGACAGTTCAAGCCGGGGTCCACAAGTCTGCATGCCGATAATCCTAAGCCCTAAACCCTCAACCCTAGACCCTAGATCCTAGACCCTGTCAAGCCTGAACCCTGAACACTGGCACTGCGTACATCGACACGAAAGCTGACCCTATAAGGGTCCTGTTTCAGGCCGAAAGAACCATAACCCTAAACCCGAAAACCTAAATACCCTGAACCCCAGACCCCAAACCCGAAACCCTAAACCACTAACTCATTCTATACAAGTTGTTAAAGCCCAAGGGTTCACGGGATGGGGCACAGCAATGCCCAAGTGCCCAGCACATTGGAGCCTACCTAAACCCTTAACCCTACTTGAAGGCTTGTGGGTACATTTAGGTAGGATGCAGGGTTCATACCCAAAATACGGTTCTAACCAAGCTACCCTGACTATAGCCCTACGAGTACAATATAAGCACCCATGAACTTACAGGTAGGTGTCGAACCCTAGACCCTAAACTCCAAACCCCTACCCCCTAAACCCCTGAACCGCTAAACCCCTAAACCTCTAAAACCCTGAACCGCTCAACCCCTAAACACCCCTAAACCCCTGAACCCCTAAACCCCTGAACCCCCTAAACCCCCGAAACCCCCGAAACCCCTAAACCCCTAAACCCTAAACCCCTACATGTATGCGCCACAGGGACTCGTCTCTTCAGTCTCCAGGCCACCCCCTCATCCAAAGCGAGGGTCGAGCTTCTGACTGTACATCGCAAGGACCCTGCTCTTCATCAGCGTGCGTTTTGAGTTGAAGGTTGAGGTTTAAGGTTTAGGGTTAGGGTTTAGGGTTTGTTATGTTGTTTAGGGTTTCGGGGCTTACATGATAGGTGCCATTAGTCCTACGAACTCGGTACCTCAAAACCGGTACCGCCGAGTTCAGTTAAAACTGCTACAGCCATCTGCTGATAGGGCTGATGGCCTCGGGTGCAGGGTCCAGGGTCAGGAAAACTGTGTCTGACCCTAAACCCTGAGCCCTGAATGAAATGGCTCACTTGTTTGCGCGAATGATCAGGAGAATCTCGTGGATGGTCCAGGAAATGGCATCCTTCACATTCCTGAGAGAGCTTTTCCCAGGCTTGCCGTTGGATTGTGCGCCCCTAAACCTCGGAATCCCTAAACCTAAGTCGCGACCGAACAGCCCTTGGGCCCTAAACCAGAAACCCTAAGCCCCAAAACCCTTAAAGCCTCAAACGCTGAGACCTTTAAATCTGAAACCCTATGACCCCAAGCCATTAAAGACTTGATTAAAACCTTAAACCCCTAGACTCTTCACCTGAAATCCTAAACCTGTATACAAGGGACCCTGCTCTGCAGGTGTCAGTTTGGGTAGTTTTTTGGGGGAGGGGTTTGGGCCCTGGTGCGTTCTGTTTGGTTGTGTTGTTTTTGTTGTCTCTCTCTCTCTCTCTTTCTGTCTCACTCGCTCTCTCTCGCTCTCTCTTTCTCTCTCTCTCTCTCTCTGTTTTCTTAAGGGTAGGGTTTAGCTCTAGACCCTAGACTCCAAACCAAAATTCCTAAACGCTAAACCCTGCACCGTACAATGTAGGGACGCATGACTTCCCTAACCTCTAACTTCCCGAACCCCCTAACTTCCCTAACCCCTAACTTCCCTAACCCCTGAACCCTTTTAGGGTTTCGGGTCTCAGGTGTAGGAGGGTTGGATACGTGTAAGCAGGGTTACGAGTTTCTGGTTTCGGGTTTAGGGTGTACTTGAAGGTTCATGGGCACTTACAAGTAGGGTGATAAGCAACCTCATTTAGGTTCTAACCGTGGTTAATCTGATGTATAACGCTGCTTGTAAGTACCCATGTCGCTGTTGGGTTCCTCGTGGCCGTGAGAGGAACAGCTCTTGTCCGGTATGGTGTGTTTTGTAGAGCCTCAAGGCCAGAATGTACATTGTCTAGGCATGCGCGTATGTGCATGTATGTGTGTATTATATATGTATGTGTGTGCACACATATGTGTGCATCTGTGTGCTGACTTATATGTGCAAGTAGTGAACAGGTGGTCTTGGGGTAGTGGGTCGTTGACTCTGAACTTAGACCTTGAATCCTTGCTTCAGCACCATTGATTCATAAGCCCTTGAAGCGCATCCACAGCCCTTGAACACTGAAACCCTGAAACCCTCAGCCCGTTATCTAACCCAGAAGTACTCAAACCCTAAACCCTACACCCTAATCCCTAACCCCTAAACCCTAAACCCCAACATGCTTGACTCCCGAAACCCTCAGCCCTAAAGCGAACCATGCCGCGGGCCAGAGGTTGGCGCTGTGCATCCCATTTCTAGTGCCCAGTATGGAATTACGCAGTAAAGGCTCAATTCAGCATGCTAGCACCATAGACCCTAAACCCTAAACCCACCACCCGAAACCGTTATAAACCCTAAACCCTTAGAAACCCAGATAAACCCTTATAAACCCTCATAAAACCTTATAAACCCTTATCAACCCTTGTAAGCCCAACCAAAACCCAATCACACAATGGTGTGCAAAAAGGCCCTGGGCGATGCCCCTCCCTGTTTTGGGGGCATGAGGCGGGACCCCTGGAAGGGACACTTAATCTTCTTCCCGAAAATAAACCTACATATACCTTGCATAGTCCCTATATCCCTACCCTAAGTAGCCCCTTAATAACCCCTAAAGTTACCCCGAAGGGCTTTTACAGGGTCCCTCCTTTAGTCCCTTGACCAGGCGCTTGTTGATGGCATCGAAATGGCCTTTGTCACAGCGCTCCACCTCTGCTTGGCTGAGCTTCAAAGCTTCCGCGAGGTGGATTGTGTAGGGGTTTAGGGTGTAGGGGTTTAGGGTTTACGGTTTAGGGTTTAGGGTGCATTGAAGGTTCATGGGTATACTTACGACGACGCTGCTGCTGCTGCTTCTCTATACAGAAAGGGGTTACACGCGCCATGCAGAAGCCCCGTACCCCAAATGAACCCTAGATGAGCTCCAAGACTTCAACCTTTAAAACGGGTTGATCTCCAAATTACGGTCCCTGTTTTGGGGTCCCATGTATAGCACGGCATCCTGAGAGGAGGACCCCCAAGAGTTGCCCTAACTTAGAGAACTACCCAGCCTCGAAGTGCTCCACCCAAGGGGGGCAAATTGTCATCACAATGGAGGGTTTGGGGTTTACGGTTAGGCTCTAGGGTTTAGGGTTTAGCGTGTAGGGTTTAGGGTTTAGCGTTTAGGGTTTATGGGTTTAGGGTTTAGGGGTTTAGGGGTTTAGGGAGTCGGGTGGGCCTCTTCCAGAATGCGTCGCAGGTCGTTCTCGTCGGACGCGCTGCACGTTCCTCAACCCCCCCGGACCCCGAGCTTTCACAAAAACTCCATGGGGCTGAGGGGTTTTGCAATCAGGGCTCAGAGTTTGGGGTTTTAGGGTTTAAGGGTTTAGGGTTTTAGGGCTTTAGGGTTTTAGGGTTTTAGGGCTTTGGGGTTCTAGGGCTTTAGGCTTATAGGGTTTTAGGGGCCAGGGCGTTTAGGGCCCCAGTCTGCGACTTGGGGATAGTGGCAATAGCCTGGCTACCAGGTTCTGGTGCTCTGTGCATGTAAGCGTTCTCCAGGGTTTAGGGTTTCGGGTTTAGAGTTTCGGGTTTAGGGTTTATGGTTTAGGGTTTAGGGTTTAGGGTTAATGTGGAGCCTATAAAGGGAACCCAAATGCCACTCTAGTTCGGAGAGCTAGAAGCCCTACATCCATCCGAAACTTCGTGGTTCTTCACTAGGGGCTTGCAGTCCCTTACAAGGGTTGTAGGAGGCGGAGAAGGTGCCCGATTACTTCCCCCAGGAATCATTTCATGGAGCAAATAACAGCGCAAGTAGAACCCTAAACCCTAAACCCTAAACCCTAAACCCTAAACCCTAAACCCTAAACCCTAAACCCTAAACCCTCCCCCGGTTTCGGGTTCAGGGCCAGATCTCCAAAAGACAAGTTCGGCAAGGCTCGAAGATCAAGCTCTTTCACGGCTTGGAGCAGGTTCTCATAGAAGTTCAGGGACCTGGGATGCAGAATAAGGTGCGAGATGAACCCTCTGAAAGGATTGCAAAACAGCGGAAGAAGGCCTCAAACCTAACCCTAAACCCTAAACCCTAAACTCTAAACCCTAAACCCTAAACACTAAACCCTAAATCCTTACGAAACCATGCTTGAAAAACCGGGGGCACGTTCATCTTTCTTTCAGCTACTCCTTGCACCTCTTCCCTGAGTTTCCTAAACCCTAAACCCTAAACCGCATACCCCAAACCCTACCATTCCCTTCAGTTTATGATTGTGTTTGGGGTTTACTTTAGAGTTTGGGGTTCAGGGATTGGCTTGTTATGGCTTGGGGTTTCGGGTCATCAGTATATTGCTTAGGGCATCTAAAGTGCAGACGAGTGTACGTTCAGTCCGTCTCGGGTTCCGGGGGCCCCTTTTAGTGTTCATTCATGCCCCAAGGTACCTCTCAGCCGAAAACCTCCAAGACCCAAGACTTTTCAACCCTAAACTCAAAACCCTGAACCCTAAAGGGTCCTCGAACTTTAAGCCCAAAACTCTAAACTCCCAAAGCCGAAACCCTAAACCCTAAACCCCAAACCCTAAACCCTAAACCCCTAAACCATAACCCGACACCAAGCTCAGTTCAGCTGCATGTTGGGTCCTCGCACGCGGATGGGAACCTGCTTCTTCACAGCCAGGTGGCACTCGAAGACACACCAAGCCTGGTGTGGGTTTAGGGTTTAGGGTTAAAGATGGCTAAGATGCTCTAACGGAGTCAAGGCCCCAAAACAAGCAAAATCACCCACCCAACAAGTTTTAACGCCAGAGCCCGGAAAGAAAAAACCCCGGGGGGGGGGGGGGGGGGTCGACCTGACTTGGTAGCGGCCCCCCTACTACTCCCTTCTATACTACCCCCCCTAGCTTCCCACCATAGTGAAAGCGATTTAGGAATAATTAAGCCTAGGTCAGGTTATTTAAGGGGGGAACTTAGAGGCGGGAGTATAGAGGGGGTAGTAGGGAAACCCATGATTGTAGTTGCTCTAAAGTCTCGTCCCTTCTGAGGGGGTTCCTATTCTGATACGGAGCCTTATGGTTTGGGTTTAGGGCTTATGTCGGGTTTAGGGTTTAGGCGGAGGAGCCTGGTGGTTATGTTACTCTAAACCCTAGACCCTTGAGAACTGCCAAAATGTGCTTCCCAGGTACGCGGCTCAGCGTTTCGACGCGGCCGTCCCGGACGTCGTCCACAATCAGGAGCACCTTTTGGTTGCTTTACAAGGGGGTTGGGAGGTGTTTAGGGTTTCAGGTTAGGAGGTTTTTAGGGTGTAGGTTTCGGGTGTAGGTGGGGTTAGGACTGCAAGTACTAAGTTGTACTAAGGGGCAGGGTTACGGTTCGAGGGTTTGGGGGCTAGGAGCTCAGGGTCTTGGGTTTAGGATTGAGTGGTTTAGCGTAGAAAGTTTGGGGTTTTAGGGCACAGGAGCAAGGGCTCAAGGTTTGTGGGGGATTAGGGCGAGAAGGTTCAGTGTTCAAGGCAGTCTTTAAGCTGCTCTAAACCCGAGGTGGACATGAGTTTAGGCCTTAGCCCTAAAAGGAATAGGTTTGGGTGGCTTTGCCGCCATGGACGGCGTGGGGTGGCTGCTCTTCGCACCTGATGATGCTTTCGAGCCTCCTCTGCATCCTAGCCGTGACAGCATCCGCGCGACATTACAGCAAACCCTAAACCTAAACCCTAAACTCTAGACCCTAAACCCTAAACCCTAAACCCTAAACCCTAAACCCTAAACCCTAAACCCTAAACCCCACCATAAGGTTCGAGGAGCCATCCTCGTGCCACAAAGTGCCCGGGCGAAGGGCGAGCTTTGGATGTCTTGCTTCAGCATGGACCCAATCCTGGACTCTTTAGGGTTTAGGGTTTAGGGTTTAGGGTTTAGGGTTTAGGGTTTAGGGTTTTGGGTTTTAGGGTTTGGGGTATTAAGGGGCTTGGGTGTCCCGAGTCTTAGGGCTGTGGGGCTTCAGGCATTTAGGGCTTCACGAAACCCTAAACCCTAAACCCTAAACCCTAAACCCTAAACCCTAAACCCTAAACCCTAAACCCTAAACCCTAAACCCTAAACCCTAAACCCTAAACCCTAAACCCTAAACCCTAAACCCTAAACCCTAACCAAACCCTAAACCGTAAGGGGGTGTTGCAAGCAGGGTCGGCTAAAGGCCTGGATTCTGAGGGACCCTGGTTCCCAGGCAAACCCTGAACCCTAAACCCTAAACCCCAAATCCCTAAACCCCAAACTCCCCAACATCCCTAAATCCCGCAAACAAGAACCCCTCAACCCGAGATCCTCAAACATAAAACCCCAAACCCCAAATCCCAAACTGCCCCAAGCCCTAACCCTAAACCCAAAATCCCTAGAGGCCCCAGCCCTGTCGACCGCCCAGTCTGGCAACCTCAGCCTAATGGTGTGTGGGGCTTGGGGTTTAGGCGTTTAGGGTTGAGGCTCCAAGCCCAAAGACCTCGAGCCTCAAAAGCCCTTTGCCGTGCAAATCTCAAGCGCGGGAATTGGGCTTAGGGCTTCGTGTGTAGGGTTGAGGGCTTAGGTTTTCCCCTAAACCCTAAACCCTAAACCCTGCATCCTAAACCCTAAACCCTGAACCCTAAACCCTAAACTCCAAAACTCTAAACCCTAAACCCTAAAGCCCAAAAAGGGTCCCATGGAGGGACTGTAGAGCTGCTTGCGTCAGGTTGCGGAGCATTCTGCGGCAGCGCGAAGGAGCAGATCCACACCTGGTGGGCTTGATAGGGCTTCGGGTTTCGCAGGGGTTTAGGGTTTAGGGTTTAGGATTTAGGGTTTAGGGTTTAGGGTTTAGGGTTTAGGGGTTGGAGGATTCAAGGAGTTCGGATGGATGGATGGTTTAGATCTAGGGAGTTCGGCTTGATGGGTTGATTGGCTCTGGTGTTTAGCAGCTCCTTCTTGGTGCTTGCGGAGAGCTTCTCAGATTTCTTAGGGTTTGGGGTTTAGGGTTTAGGGTTTAGGGTTTAGGGTTTGGGGTTTGGGGTTTGGGGTTTGGGGTTTAGGGTCTTCAGACCTTCAGGCCTTCAGGACCCAAAACCCAACACCCGTCACCGAAAATAAACCTAAACCCCGAACCCCTAAACCCATCCCCCCCCCCCTCCCCCGAATCAAACCCCCTAAACCCCTAGTCGCTAAACAAACGCAAACCCCTAACCCCTAAACCCCTAATCCCGAAATAAACCTGAACCCCTACCCAAAACTTCAAACCTTATAAACAAAAGAATATGCCCTAACACTCCTGAAGCCCTAAACACAAGATCAAGGTCCTAGAGCCCCAAACAAACGAATAACCCCCAAACACTGCCCAAACACCCCAAAAGCCCAAACCCTAGACCCTAAACAAAGCTGAACCCCCAACCCCTAAGCCCCAGACAAAAGTTCACCGTGAACACCCCTGAAGCCCTGAACGCGAATTCCTAAACATCCGAAACCCCTAGACACCCCCTAAACCCTAAACCCTAAACCCTAAACCCGAAATATGTCCCAGGCACCGGCACATGGCCCGGCACGGAGCTTCGCACGACAGCGACGAACTGGCCAAAGTCCTCCTGAGTTAACACCCCAAGCCCTCAAACCCGGAGAGAAAGAACGAATCCCTAAACCTTAAACCCTAAACCCTAAACCCTAAGCCTAAACCCCATACCCTAAACCCTAAACCCTAAACCCTATAAACCCTAAGCCGCCTAAGTCCTATAAACCCTACACAATAGTGACAAGGCTTGCGCTGGGGGGGAGGGAGGGGGGGAGGCTCGGATCTGCCGGCTTCGGAGATCGGCTCGGGGTTTAGGGTTTAGGGTTTGGGGTTTGGGGTTTCGGGTTTAGGGTTTAGGTTTAGGGTTTAGGGTTTAGGGTTTGGGGTTTAGGGTTTAAGGTGGGGGTTTAGGGTTTGGGGTTCAGGGTTTAGGGTTTGGGTAATCGAGTTTGCGTGTAGGGTTTGGGGTCACTTAGGGCCAGCCAAACCAAATATGGTGACACAAGGGACCAGAATTTTGAGAACTCACCACGTATCCTACGCGTAGTTCTAAGTAATTAGGGTTTGCGAATCCTACAAGTAAAGTTATAACCATAGTCACCCTACTTATAACCCTACTGACAAGTACCCATGAACCTCCACTCAAGCCCTCGACCCCCCAACCTTCCGTTCCCACACCCGCGGAGTTTCGTTCGGGTCGGAAGCAGAAACCCTGAGTCCTGAACCCTAAAGCCCGAAGGAACCAGTGCAGGCGACGTAACATTCCACGAGTGCGAGATGAAGACGCAGGCTTTCATCGGCGAACGCCAGTTCCTTTGGCGTAGTCCAGGGCTTCAGGGCGGTATAAAGTTTACCTGCCGAACCCACACGTTTTTCTTTTGTTTGGGTTGGGGGGGGGGGGAAGGAGGGAGGCCGCTCTCTAGGGCTTTTGAAACCCTAAACCGTAAACCCTAAACCCTAAACCCTAAACCCAAAACCCTAAACCCTAAACCCTAATTGTATTGGGGTACGGATGACTTGGGACACTTGGAGCACTTGGGCTCCACATAAGCCACCCGCAGACTTGCGTCACACAGGTCACTTGGAGCACTTGGGGTTGGAGCACTCGGGAACATTTTGGGGGTTTACGACAAGAAGGGAACTGTAAGATAGACCCCCCAAATAGTAAGACCTAGTAGGATCCCCTTATGATACGGACTCTAAGAAGGTACGTGTAATTTCGGAAACCCGCATTTGGGCTACTTGGGCCACATGTTCGGTCACGGCGGTCATGTGGGGCACCTTAACAGACTGTATGGTTGGTTTAGGGTTTAGGGTTTAGGGTTTAGGGTTTAGGGTTTAGGGTTTAGGGTTTAGGGTTTAGGGTTTAGGGTTTAGGGTTTAGGGTTTAGGGTTTAGGGTTTAGGGTTTAGGGTTTAGGGTTTAGGGTTGTTCCCCTTCATACTAACCGACCTTAATCTGCTAGCATAGGGGGGTAACATCTCAAGGCTCAGGGTTTAGGGAGCCATATCCATCAAAGGTGCAGCATGAGTGCAAAGCCTTGCGTGCCAGAGGTGAACGCACGGATGAAGACGTCCACAACCTCAGGTGTAAGTACCCTGGATGGGCGCAGGTTGGGGGTTTGCGGACGTAGGGCCTTTAAGGTTGAGGGTTTCCACGGAGAATACTCACACATGACCTTTAACAGCCAAACCCTGCGTTCTCGAAACCCTATAAGCCGCTAACCCTAAACCCATAGCCCTGAACCATAAACATTAAACCCTGAGCCACAAGCCCCACCACGGAAGCATGATAACTAAATCCACATTTTCCGATGGTGATGTGCTCGGGGTGGGTGTTTGCTCTGAGCTTCCAGCGTCAAGGCTAAGGACTATAGGCACTATAATATACATGTGTATAAATATATATTTATTTATTTATAGGATATATGTATATAGGGTTTTACAGGGGCTATATAGGGGAGTAAGATTGAGGGTTCCTCCTAGGGGTCACTCCTTATACCCCTTTTGGTTTAAAGAACCCTACCCTAATTCAACCCTAAACCCTGCGATCTAAACCCGAATTGAACCCTGAACCCTGAACCCTGAACCCTAAACCAGAACTAATCCAGAACTTAAGCCCCAACCCTGAACCCGAAACAAGGCTTCAGGCAAGAAACAGTGTGCATGTTGGCACGCAGTGGCTGTGCTATGTGCTGATCGCCCTCCTGACAGGGACCGAGCTCGCGCGCAGAAGCAACAAAACATCCCTAAACTTTAAACCCTCAACCCTCAACCCTCAACCCTAAACCCTAAACCCTAAACCCCAATCCCCAAACCCTAAACCCTAAACCCCAATCCCTAAACCCTAAACCCCCAACCCTGGGACTGCAGGCCCCAGCTGCTCGAGCTAGGTCGGGGCGCATGGTCTCCCTGAACTCACACTTTGGTGGGGGCTTAGGGCTTAGAGTCGTTTAGGGTTTAGGGTTTAGGGTTTAGGGCGCAAAGTCCAGGGTTTTGGGTTTCGGGTGCAGGGTGTAGGGTTTAGGGTTTGGGGTCCGGAGCAAACAGGGAACAGCATTCGGACACCAGACAATCCCAAAATATCCTTCAGACTGAACTGGCCCTGCAAGCATAGGGGCTTATAAACCCTATAAAGCCGGAAAACTTTTATGAAGACTTCCCAAAACCAATAAACACCAAACGCGCCAAGCCCTCTATGGTTACATCCTCATTTAGCGTACTTATACTGCTACAAGTAAGCCCTGAACCCCTACACCCTAAACCGTAAACCCTACACCCTACACCCTAAACCCTAAACCCTAAACCCTGAACCCTGAGCCCTGAGCCCTGAACCCTAAACCCTAACCCTAAACCCTAAACCCCAAACGTCAAGCCCTGAGTTCGGGTGAAGCAGGCTCCTGCCAGCAGCGGTGCCGCATCCTGCCATGACCCACAAGCCTCTGGCGCACATGAGTCCCCCAGGGTTTAGGGTTTAGGATTTAGGGTTTAGGGTTTGGGGGGGACTTTGGGTTCAGGGTTTGGGGTTAGGGTTTAGGGTTACAGCAAATGCCAGCTTCCTAAACCCCACACCCTAAGCCCTTAACCCAAGTTCCCGAGAAGACCGTCCAAACCACTGACATGCCTGAGAACCGAAGCACGAAGAAAAGCAACAATCGAAGCTCCAAGCCTTGAGCCTGAAGCCCCGAACCCCTCAACCCTTCAACCCTTCAACCCTTCAACCCTTCAACCCTAAAACCCTAAAACCCTAAAACCCTAAAACCCTAAAACCCTAAAACCCTAAAACCCTAAAACCCGAAAATTTCTAAAACCCTAAAACCCTAAAACCCTAACACCCTAACACCCTAAAACCCTAAAACCCTACAACCCTAAAACCCTAAATTTCTAAAACCCTAAATTTCTAAAACCCTAAAACCCTAAAAGCCTAAAACCCTAAAACCCTAAATTTCTAAAACCCTAAAGCCCTAAAACGCAAAAACCTAAAC